CAAACATATTTCCCTTAGGTATCAGCCTCGTGAAGAACTTGTGAACCAAAATACGTTATAGGAGACAAAGTTTTCTTTTCAATAAGTGCATCTCCATCAGACATAAGTGCAGACTAATTTGCACCTAGTGATGATGCAATTCGTTATGTTATATAATTAATATACAGGACAATCTTACCAGCACAATGCGATCAGTACATGGAGAATTTGATTGGAACTTGGTTAAAAGTTAGACATTAACACGGTAGAAGATTTACTTTTTCTCTCCATGGTTGAAACTCCTTTCCTTTCTTTGATTTCTTCTTTCTCTCTATCTTTACTGTCTTTTCAAAAGGAAATTCGTTGGACTTCTTCAGGAAAACTTTATTTCTAATATCCTTCTGGTGGTGACTTAACCAACGTTAAATTCTATTTCACGAAATAAGCAACCCAGCAAGCAGTCATAGGACAGAGCTCATTACCCCGACTCCTGTCAACCCATCAGTCAAGCACCCGGTTCCCAATTGTGATCAGTTGGGCGAACACCCGTCATGTGCCGAGCTTCCGACTCGGTGAGCAGGTGATATTCGCCTTGTCACTTGTGCAAGGCATCAATGAGAGAAGCAGTATTAAATCGGCAATGAGGCGGTAAGTGATGAAGACGCAAAGAGAATTGCAATAGCAATGCAAGTTCGACTTTTGGAGCGCACGATGAGGGCTTTGTATGTCATCATGTTTCTCTGGCTGATTGTTTAGCCAAGTGCGTGTGCATTTCGTATACATACATGTATACATATCTATCTATCTATCTATCTATCTATCTATCTATCATCATGTTTATCTGATTAACTGTTTCACCAAGTGCGCGCATTTGGTATGCATATATGTATACATATCTATCTATCTATCTATCTATCTATCTATCTGTTATCATGGTTCTCTGACTGATTTTTTGGCCTAGTATTTTCGGAATGCCTTGAAAGCCTTTTCTGAAATGAACTGAGGTTAATTCTTACCATTTTTTTCAGAATGCCTTAAAAGTAAAAATATATTTTAGGTCTGTCCATATGTTTTCCGTGTCGACAATACGTGTACTAAATTCAGAATCCTATTGTATATATATATATATATATATATATATATATATATATATATATATATATAGACAATGTCTAAAAAACACAATATCCAGCCAGGCTAAACCATAAATTTAACAATATAGATAGTACTAATATATAACTCAACATATCAAAACCTACACACATTTCTCACCCACACAAGACAGACATGCTTACGGAGGTGTTGAGGCCTCACACTTATGCGCACACACACACGAATATATACACACTTACACACATCATACTCACTCACTCCCTAATGAGCCAAATGATAACACACACCCACAGCAATACACACGCTTACACATATCATACTCACTAACTCCCTAAGAACCAAATAACACACACACAAACACTAAACAGAGACACATCCCCTCTCCAGGACCAATAAAACTGTCAAACTGACCACGGGAATTCAGAGAAGCATAGATCCATCCAGCTCTTATCTCAAATAACAACTTAAAAGAGACTGTTTGACCAACACAAGGAATGTTAAAAGATTCATGTTAAAAAGATAAAAAAACAAAAAAAAAAACAAATGAAACTACAGACAAAAGTTCTTTTTCTACAGCAAAAGATTCATTTCTGTAGTTTACTGCTACCAGCAAGCAGAAATATTTCTTCTCTCGATGATGGCCATTTTGGCCGAAACTAGTCGAGGAATCCAAATGAAATAAAAATAAAAAAACGTAAGAATATTACTCTAAAACCAAGTGTGTCTGAAGATTTTAATTTTTTAATATTTTTTAATTGTTAAAAAAAAAAATTATATATATATATATATATATATATATATATATATATATATATATCGGGGATAGATAGATAGATAGATAGATAGAGAGAGAGAGAGAGAGAGAGAGAGAGAGAGAAATCCACCTTGAAAATAATTGACGTGTTCAAAAATAGTTCGGACAATGGACAAGAGGGACAATTATAATCGCACAAAACGGAAAACTATGTAAGAAGGCGGTAAAAACTAAAAACAAAATAATTAAATTTTCCTTGTTTGTCATATTCAACGAAATATATTTAAAAGTAAGGTTACTGTTCAAATATACATACCTATATATATATATATATACTTAGTACTTAGTGGAAGGCCACAATATCTGTGATAGAGCTAACATATTCAATTTTCTGGACATCAGTTTGTAACACTGGGTTTCCCGCTTTTGTGATCATGACAGACTGGTCTATTTGCGTATATATGTATGCTCGAACGCATGCATGTGTTTTTTCGCCTAACCTCAGATTAATTGCGTACACGAGCATGTATGTCTGTCTATGTATGTGACAGTGTCACCCTAAACAAACACAGAAGAAAATTCCCCCTCCTCCATACACAATCAAACCCAAATAAGCATAACTAGATCGATTTAAAAAAAAATAATCCAGTTTGTCTGATGATCACAAAAGTGTGAAACCTAGGGTTCCAAACTGATATCCACACAACTGAATATATATATATATATATATATATAAACACATAGAGGGAGCTGAATTATGAAGGTAGTACCCTGACTGTTCAAAATTCAGCCACCATTATATATATATATATATATATATATATATATATATATATATATATATATATATACCACATGAGGATGTAATCTGTGATATAACGATTGTGATTTATTCTACAAATATACTCTGATTATATTCCCTTTGATAATTTTATACAGAGTAATAAATGAAAATGTAATAACCTTGGAAATTTATGTATCTCCCTCTATCTATGGGTTAAGTATCAGCATAAATTAGTATCCCTTGCTGCTGCTATGTTTACTGCAAATTTAGTGCATCTCCAGCCCTAATTGCTTTCAGGGTGTATTAAAATATATCAGTTATGGGTAAAGTTTCATTGTTTCTAATTATTCCCACTGAATATATCGCTACTCCTTTCTAATCTTTCTTTTTTTTTTCTTATACTCAACAGTGGTGGAATTATTTCGAAATTCTACAAAATTTGTACCTAAAACTTATTTTGAAATTTTCTGCATTTTTTATATGTAGTTCATGGGTAATCAGAAATTTTCACTGGCCCTAAGTACAGGAAATTGTTCCAGAATGTCTATTCATATTTTTAGAGTCTCATTACCTGTTACACGTCACCAGAAATTTCTTTTCTTCAAAGAGGTAAATTGCCTACAACGTCTTATGCTACGTTTTCACTAGAAAAGAAAATGGACATTTTTCAGAACTGTGAACTGAAGATTATGGATTTTTTAAAAATAAAATCCTGTAAATAAATTTGTTTGTATTTTTTTAACCCTCGATCCCAGTTGCTTGATATTTATCTCTCTGCCGATATATATATATATATATATCTGTCTGTTTAAAGCAAGGAAAATCCATTTTTGTATATCGATGATATTTCGTTTTTGATTATTTTTTCTTCTTTCTTTCTTCCTTTCTATCTATCTATCTATCTATCTATCTATCTATCTATCTATCTATCTATCTATCTATCTCGGTCTGTTCATATCTATCTATCTATCTATCTATCTCGGTCTGTTCATTCATCTATCTATCTATCTATCTATCTCGGTCTGTTCATATCTCTCTCTCTCTCTCTCTCTCTAACACTCTCTCTCCATATATATGTATATATATATATATATATATATATATATATATATATATATATATATATATATTTCGATCTGTTCATATCTATCTATCTATATAGTTAGCAACCTACATACATATAAATCTATCTGTCTGGCATGCTGTTTGTTTTTTATATATATATATATATATATATATATATATATATATATATATATATATATATATATGTGTGTGTGTGTGTGTGTGTGTACGTGTGTGTGTGAGTGCTTGTGTATGCGCGTCTGTGAATATAATTCGCAGATGAAAAAATGAAAAAAAAAAATTACAATTTATTACATATTGTTAGGCCGATAGACAAAATAGAAGCTCAATAAGAAAAATTGAAGTTTGAACACACTTGTATTCCTTTTCTTTGTATGTATGTGTGTGTGTTTGTGTGTGCGAGAGAGAAAGTGTGTGTGTGTGTGTGTGCGTGTGTTTTTATTGTCTATTAATTTCCTTATTTACCTTAATCTGTCTATTTATCTTCATCTGTTAACGTCTCGTTTTTTTTGTGTGACCACAACAGTCTTTTTTTATTATATCATTATATCACCGATTTTTTTCTATGTTGTACTGTTCTTATCTATCTATCTATCTATCTATCTATCTATCTATCTCATCCTGTTCGTGTCTCTCTATCTATCTCATCCTGTTCGTATCTCTCTATCTAGGTATCTATCTCTCTGCCGATATATATATATATATATATATATATATATATATATATATATATATATATATATATATATATATAAAGAGGAAGATTATTAAACACACACACTTAATGATAATCTTCCTCTTTCTTTCTATCTCCATGTCAAGTGCGATTCAGCCTCGTCTCCAAACATCCTTTCGATTAAGTTACGGTAACAATAAAGAAGGATAATTGATTTTCAAAACAAGAAATTTATCTTTTTTGCAGTATAATTGACTTGTCTCTTCACCCCCAATCCTCCAATTAAAGTTGTACGTTTGTAAGATATGTTACTGTCCAATCCTGTAAGTTTTCTATTAATCTTATTTTCTCAGTCGATGATACATTATCATCAACTGAGAAAAGAATTACCATATAACGTATGAATTTCCGATTAAATTCTACCTCATAAAAAAAATATCATGAATTTTTTGACATTATTGTAGCTTATTCAATAACGTAGATTCCTTACAGAAGTCATGGTGTTTCCATCAGGGAACATCTTAATGTTAATAGTCAGTTTTATACTGGTTAGACTGAAAGGACATTATTTAAGTGTAGATCAGGATTATGTATATTTCACCACCAACATTTATAAAAAGCATCCATTTGAGACATTCTAATCATATGTGAAAAGAATGATCACAACTTAGCAAATTAGTAATTTAATTATATCGAATCGTTCATTAAAATCTTCCCGGTGCTTCCAACACTATTCAAGTCCCTGAGTTTTATTTAATTTTGAAGTTAAATAAGAAGAACATTTTATTACAGTTTTTAAGATGGACAATTCTCTTCATATTTAGTTTCTAAATACATTAGAAAATTACAGAGAACTTCGTCAACGAAAACAAAACCATATAATTGTAAATCTACTATTGTTGTAGGGCATCACCATTACTGGTCCTTTAAAATCGAAATTTTCACCGCTGATCTTCAAATCCTGCTAATCCTGATTTTTATGAATCAATTATTCAATCACCATCCATACCAAATGCCGTACAATGTTGATTTTTGTACTTATTAAGAGTAAATTAACCCACATTTATACCAAATTTCAGTCAGGTGAATTCAGTTAATCATTGTTCTACGGTTGATGCTCATAGGTAATTAAAAACTAAAATAATCTCTTTTCTTTATTCCTTTCATCCCATGAAAAGCATTAAAGTCTCTAAGATACAAGGATTTAGTGAGTGTGAAAGAATAAGATAATATGAAAAACATTATTAAGGGGCGAAAAAAATAGAAGTGTAATCAAGAAGACAGGTAACGATCGACATTACATTTAAATTATCAAAGTTGGTTGGAAAGTATGGAGAGCCGGAAGAGAGTTCCACAAACGATAAGTGCGAGAAAAGAAACTCTTACCATAAACTTGCTGTTGCATCTAGTCAAACCAACCCTGATTGGATCTTTCTCACAAAGTCAATTTTCCAAGACTCACTACACTACGGTTATTTTCATGGTAAATTTCCAGATGTTCTCTACTATTTATTCCACCAAGTTAGACATTTACAGCTCAGTTTTGATTGATTAATTTGTTTTTTGGCTTATCAACCTCTTGCAAATTGTTTAAGGCCAGAAAATATATTTTTAGATTGTAATAATTTTTTAAAGTAATAGTGCTTTATACAAGTCCTACTAATTAATCCATAGGTAGAGGGAGAAGTGGTGGAATCATACCTTTCACAGAGTTATTTGTGCGTAAGTGAATATAATGAACTCGACTGAAATTGGAACATAGTTCCCCGATTTACATCACTCGCACATCCCAGCTTACATAACTTGGGTGCGCTAGTGTCTAGATATTAAATCTTTCACCTGGGATACGTCATGCTATGTCTATGGATCCTACGCAGTTTCATTCCCTCCGTGTTACAAATGAAAGTAAAAAATTTCACTCAGATTTTTTTCCAAGTGCTTCTTTTTGGAACATACACCAGAGTGAAGAATACAATTTTGACTTCTTTAAGTCAAAGATCAATTGTTATGTATCCTTCATTTTCTTCATAAACTCCGCTTCCAACTATTCCTCTCAACTGCTGGGTACACAATGAGGACCGATTCCAATTGCTACCTGACTCCTTTTGATATCCTCTACATTACAAGGGTCAAATCAAGCCTAAAATGCCATATATGGGTAGCAGCTTCCCAGTCTTCACTTTCTAGTTTCGATAGAGTTAAAAAGCATCTCCGCGTCCTTGTGGGTAGGTGAAAATATATGTTCTACTCTGCAACCTCGTCTTAATACAGACGAAACGCCACAAGGTTCTCACTGCTCTATCACAATGTCCATTTCACCTTCACAACATACCCGCCATGTTATGCAAATTTTAGCGAAGCATCCCCATTCCATTCGTGGAATGTAAGTTCCATTCGAATAGATTCTTCTCACGAATCGCTATTCTGTGGAACCGACTCCAAAGAGGATGTTTTCTCAATCACTAAAATCTTAACCTGTTCAATGCTAGGTTTAATCGATATCTTTCCCAGATGTCTGCATCACCTGTACCTATTACTATGCAATCCTCTGTTTTGTGTGGGTCTCGGACCTTCTACAGGATGTATATAACTACAAAAAAATATATGATGAACTGCTCTGCGTGATTGAGTGTATAAACTTCTCTCTCGAATAGTTTATAACACATTGATACTCAACGGACACAGGAATCCGTCCCTATACCGGCTATGACTAGTTTGGACCAGTTTAGACCAGGAATAACTGACTAGCTTAGACCAGCTATGACCAATTTGGACAAGCTATGACCAGCTAATACCAGCAGCCCGAGTAAAGACACTCGGGTTCCCACATTAAAAACCGACCTTGTGTCCTCATCTGACTCAGTGGGTGGGGGTCAAGTAAATACAAACTACTCTGCGTGATAACAAAGAAGTGATTTTTAAAATTCTGGGTACCATCCGAGGCGTGAGAATCAGTATAGCAATCATAAATCGCTGTTCATCATATACTGGAATCGATCTTCATTGGTTACCCAGTTGATCCTTCAGTCTTTCGATAGCAACAGTAACGTTGATGACGAAAGACCGAAAAAATAGCGTATCATTTTGAAAAATCTGCTTAGATTTACAAAATATATATTTTTTTAATAAAATTGAAAACAGATTCATTTTACAAACAGTTACTCATCTACTTGTAAAATCCGTAATGTACTCGCGAGATATAAACATGCTTTTCGGGATTCTAGCCGTAAGCAGTGGAGCGAATTCAACGCCACATCGATGAGTGGAGATCCAATTATTGCCCCGACAAACTGCGTTGTGCATTAAGAGATTTCATGCGGAGTAAACAATTGCAAGAGAGAAAGCGATAGAGAGAAAGACAGAATGAGTAGAAAGAGAAAGAGGAGAAAATAGAGTGTTAAAAAAAAAGAAAAGAATGCAAGAAGAAATTGAATGACTGGAGGGAAAAGAGGAGTGAAAGGGAAACTTGAGAAAAATGAGTGAGAAAGCGTGAGAAAATGTGAAAGTATTATAGAAGAAGAAGAAGAAGAAGAAGAAGAAGAAATGAATGTTAGAAGATGGATGAGGGGGATGAGGAGGAGAAAGAGAAGAATGAGGAGGAAGAGGAGGAGAAGAAAAGGAAGAGGAGGTTTGAGGGGGAGAAAGAAGAAGAAGGTATGGAGGAGAAGAAGAAGAAGAAGAAGAAGAAGAAGAAGAAGAAGAAGAAGAAGAAGAAGAAGAAATTAATGTTAGAAGAAACGATGTGTGAGAGGTTGAAGAAGGTTGTTTGAGGGGTAGGAAGAAGAAGAAAAAGAAGGAAGCGAAGAATAAGGAGGAAGAGGAGGAGAAGGAGAAGAAGAAGAAGAAGAAGTAGAAGAAGAAGAAGAAGAAGAAGAAGAAGAAGAAGAAGAAGAAGAAATTAATGTTAGAAGATGGATGGGGGGGGATGAGGAGGAGAAAGAGAAGAATGAGGAGGAAGAGGAGGAGAAGAAAAGGAAGAGGAGGTTTGAGGGGGAGAAAGAAGAAGAAGGTATGGAGGAGGAGGAGAAGAAGAAGAAGAAGAAGAAGAAGAAGAAGAAGAAGAAGAAGAAGAAGAAATTAATGTTAGAAGAAACGATGTGTGAGAGGTTGAAGAAGGTTGTTTGAGGGGTAGGAAGAAGAAGAAAAAGAAGGAAGCGAAGAATAAGGAGGAAGAGGAGGAGAAGAAGAAGAAGAAGAAGAAGAAGAAGAAGAAGAAGAAGAAGAAGAAGAAGAAGAAGAAACGAATGTTAGAAGAAACGATGTGTGAGAGGTTGAAGAAAAAGAAGAGAGAAGAAATAAAACAAAAAGCGTAGAAATGAAATAAACGGTTGAAGTCAAAGGAAACGAGAAAAAAATACGAAAAGTCTGCGAGATGCACAAAAGAAAAGACAGGGAGAAAGAAAATTCAAGTGTCGGTCTTTTAGAGGGGGGAAAGGAAAAAATAGATTTTAACAGAAAGAAAGGCAAAAAACGGGAAAAAGAAAGAAAGAAAAATAGGCGACTTGGAGAGGGGCAGAGTTAGATTGAGCGAAAGTGTCTAAGAATTTGGTCGAGTAAAAAAATTCTAATATCCTTAGAGAAGACGATATCCTGAGCAAAAAGGGTTTTATTCGTCTCTTCCATATGGCCGGCTTCGTTGTTTTTGCACTTGGATGGTCAGCTTTCGATGTCAATGCGAACAGATGTGACAGGCCACATCTGCTTTGGTCCAGAATAGTCGTTTACTTACAGGACTTCTCCATTGTCGTGTGGACATGCTGGCCTACATCATATCCTGACTGAACTGAATATTCTCACGTGTCTCTTTCTGTGACACACAAACCTACTCTTCTTTTTTGTTTGTCTTAGTCGGCTTATTTCCTCTTTCCTCTTATTTTGACCGTCGCCATAAAATTCCTGCACATTTTTCTGACAAAAGACATTCTTGAAAGACGACAAGCAATCTGGTGTTTTTTTTTTTTTTTTTTTTGTTTTTTTCATTTCTGCTAAAATATTTTCATTCTTAAGTGGTGCATTTTCTGAGTGACGACAACTTTATATCTTTCCTCGTTTTAGATTTTTGCTTATCTACTCTTTTTTTTTCTTTTCTTTTTTTTTTTTTTTTTTTGCTTTCAATTACACTTTTCATTATTATGCACTCGTTCACTTTCTTTTTCGCATCTTCTTTCGTCGGGGTTTTCTTTTCATCCTTTCCTTCCTTTTGTTGTTCACCTTTACTCTCCTTCAAGAAAAAATCGAACTTTCCATTTTAAAGTTTACAAGGTTTACCGAAGTTATCATACAGAAAAATGAAGCAAAACACACACAAAGACACACAGCCACACACACACAAAGACACACAGCCACACACACGCGCATATATTTGTGTGTGCGTGTGTGTGTGTATAAACACTCATACTTACTAACATAAGCGGGTGTATGCATGTGTTTAAAGTTTTAGTCTTTTATTCTAATCTTAACAGCTTTCCCAAGACAATCATTTGACGCTATTTATTACCTAACATTAGATTGAAAATTGCCTCCATTTACGTATAGAGATCAGCTATCGATTTGGTTCAATATTCTATCCTGAGATTTTATTAGAAAACAGATGTGTATTTATGTACAGTACATAGAATACAGAATCTTGTCTAAATCTATCATCCATTTTGTCACAACATATTTTTTAGTGCAAACACTGTTACGGAAGGAAAAATACTGAACGACTTTCATAAAGCCCTAAGTGACAATCTTAAGTTTATTTCGGAAGAAAAGTATAGGAACTACGTCTTTTTTAAGTCATCATCAACGTAAGTAGAAACAATTGTTTTGTTTAGTAAAATTTTAAAATGATATAACAATATTATTTTTAAAATTAAGCTCTTATAAATATGTGGTGAAGTTGCGCAGTTTTAGATCTAATGTCGTAGGACTAATGAGTGTTATGACGTAAGAAAAGAGTGTTTTGATATCAGTGTCGGGTGACGTGTGACTTTTTTTATAAACATTTAAAATTAATCGACATAAAATATCTGTCGTTTGAAAATAGTTTTCTTAAAGAACATTTGCTGCCTATATACACAGTTAAAAATGTTATGAAGTAAACAATTCACTGTTAGAGACTGGAACTTCGACAGATCGATTAAACAAGATGGGTCACTTTCAACCATTCTACTATTCTTATTTCGGCCATTACAAATACTGATGGCACCATCTTAACTGCAGCGACCCGTAAAGAGACGTCATTACTAGGGGATCATGATTTTAGCGACAAGTACAAAGTCCTAAAGTGGCGGATAATGACTTTTCTAATGAAAGTTCATCAAGTGCAAAAATCCATGACGATTTTAGAAGCTTCATCAAATTATATCTCTTTCTACGCATGCACTTCTTAAATATCCACTCGATGTGATTTAGCTAAAGAACAAAGGATCTCGGCCAGATCTATTTATACCCAATCGAATTCTAATTTATGGTGATAACATTTGATGAAGTAGACTTACTTGTCTAAAAAGTAATCCACAGTTTGAGACTGACTCATCGACAGATCATTTAAACAAGTTGTTCCATTTTCAAACATTCTGATTTTTCCTTCGGTTGATTTCGGCCATTACTCTTCCTGTTGGCGCTATCTTACCTGCAGCGATCCGCAAAGGCCAGAGACGCCATTACTGCTCCGAAATGCCAAGCTTCAAGCAAACTACAATTTCATTTTGAAGAAGCTAAAATATTATTTGGTTTGAAAGAAATATGAAAGAAGTTTATTATGAATGTCAAGATTCTTTTTCTCCATATTTTCTGAGACTTCTGAAGCCAATATTTCAGTCAATATACGCATTAGCCTTCTCAAAGTCTATGTTGCCTCTGGTGATGTTAAGGAGACGCTTCGTACTTTTTTATTTTTATTTTTCATTTTCTCTACATGGATATCACAGTTAATATAAAACATATTACCAAAATCTCGTGTAAATAGACGAGATTGAAAGTTACGAAAAGTAATGTTCATTGTAATATGAATTAATGTCGGATTAAAAAATCTATTAAAGAATTACAATTATTTAACAGATCTAGATTCGTACAAGTCCAGGTGAGAGAACTGCATTCTTTAAATAGGTAATATAAACATTGCTCTATCAAGATGGCTTCCAATGGCCAAACTAGTAATGACAAGGTTCGGCTATAGAAGTGGTTCCCCTGATGGAAAAAGACATAGTGTCATTCGTGTCACGCAGTTTTTCTTTAGTTTGTCTTCTCGAAGTAGACCGGTTGTTATTAACTTAAATGTTTAAGGAAATAGAATTGAGACAGCATCCCAAACATATGCAACTTTAAAGTAATGTATTCTTATTATAAAAAATAATTATGAACATATCAGTTCTAACACAGTGTAAAAATATTCTTAATCTAAGCGAATCGTTCAAAGTATTTTGTTTTGATTAGCAGCGGTCTTGAACAAAGTCCTGTCTGCATATAATTACAAAGATTAACTTAATCTGCCATAAAAATTAAAGAAGATGCAAGTTGGGAAAATAGGGTATCACTTATCAAGTGAATTGAATGTGGTTGAGTTTTATTCAACATTCCTGCCTTTGTCACAACCTGAACACGAAAGCAAGTAAATCATCTTGAAAGCATTGCCTGGTATACGTCCAGTGTTACGGTGACAACATATTTAACAATATTAGCTCAGATGTAAACACATCGGGGAAATGAGATGTAAAGAAAATTGTGTGTAATCAATCTTCCAAGTTTACCTGTTCTACATACTTTGAAAATCAACATTCAAAACATTTTTATTGTCTCAACGACAACTACTGGGTCCTGTGAAAGCAGAAAAGCTGAGAGAAATACTCTACAAATTTTGTGTTAGGTTAACTCTATATAAATATATATATAAATAATATAAACTCGCCTTTACAATCTGATGTTTGATTATATTGAAATACGGAGTGTTGGGAAAATAGATTTGATCGTAAAATTTTCAGCAGTTACATTCGCATTCATTTTGCTACTAAACTCTTTTACAATAAAACGTAACTTTTTCCCTACTATAATAATAATAATAATAATAATTCTTGGATTTCTTTATCATCGTATCTGTATTTTTCTTTAGATTTCTATCATTATTCCGCCATTTTCCTTCAGTTTTGTCACATCTTTCTTTTTTATTATTCAGTCTGATTAGTTTTCTTCATCATGATGTTTCTTTTTTTATCACAGTTTTCTCGATCTAAAATATTCTGATTGCTAAAGTAAACAAAGTGAATCGAATTATCCTATAACATACATCTCATGATTCGCTCCATCATTCTTTCTCTCTTTCTTTCTTCCTTTCTTTCTCTCTTTCTTTCTTCCTTTCTTTCTTTCTTCCTGTGTCCTTCTTTTTTCATTCTATCTTTCTTCCTTTATTTTTTACTTTCTTTCTTTCTATTTCTCCCTTTTTCTTTGTTCCTTTCTTTCTTTCTTTCTTTCTTCGCGTGTCCTTTGGTTTGTTTTTTTATTATATCTTTCTTCCTTCATTTTTTTACTTTCTTCCTATATCTCTTTCTTTCATTCTTTTCTTTCTTTCTATTCCTTACTTTTTTCTTTATACCTTTCTTCCTTTCTTTCTTTCTTTATACCTTTCTTCCTTTCTTTCTTTCTTTCTTTCTTTCTTTCTTGCTCATTTCCATCTTTCTTCGTATTTCAACTGTTCTGCATATTTATATTTCCCTCTCCTTAAGATCACATCATTCTTTCTTTCTTTCTTTCTTTCTTTCTTTCTTTCTTTCTTTCTTTCTTTCTTTCTTTCTTTTATTTCTTTCTTTCTTTCTGATTCCACTCTCCACTTTCTCTCTTCATTATGTCCCTCCCTCTTATTTATGCTTTAATTCCTGAACCACTGCTTCCATTATGGTTTAATTTTCCCCTTTTCTTTCTATATTTATTTTATAATTCCTTTCTCTGGTTTATCTTCTTATTTTTTTTCATCCTGCCTGTCAATACCAAAAGTCGGCAAAAGATACTTTCTTTTATTCTAATGTTTCTCTTTCATTTCGCCGATTTCTTCGTTAGCAGACATCATTCCATTCTATGATCTTACTTAGAATCGCCAACCGTGTTCTTTCATCTTTTTCGAACAATTTTCTTATCGCCTCCATTTTCCCCTTATTATTTCGCAACGTATTCCTCCTCTTTACCCTACTTGTGCCGATTTTGGCAACCCAACTTAACGCAATAGTGCAAATGTGTTTCTCTCAAATGATACATTCAAATCGAGTCTCATTTTCTTCCTTTTATTCTTCGCCTTGGTCGATGTTCTTCAGAGACAAGGCAATGATGTTCTTGTATATCTTTCTTATTGACATTATCTTTTTTTATTATTTTATGTACGCTTTATCGATCAGTTCAGCATCATTTTCAATATCCCTATTAGTTTAACACATTGAATATGAGCAAGATTCTCGCCGTAGGTGAATAATTTTCCCAATTTAGAAAAAAATTAAGAAATTTTGACACAGCCATTATCTTCAGATTTCATTTTAGCATGTTCGTTTCGGGAATACAATTCACTTATTGAACATTTGACCACAGGCCAAGATTTCTTTATTTTAAGGCGAATGAAGGGTTATAATAGATGTATAAAAGAGTAAAAAAAATGAAAAAATTGTCACCAGAATGTACAACAGATCTCTTTTTTCTGCAGAACAAGATTTATACAGGTATCGTGATTTATACGGTCATATCAGAATATGATTTATGGATACGTCATGAAAGACGTTTTCGTTTCTGAACGTGAATATATCTTCGAAACGCAAAAATATATATATATATATATATATATATATATATATATATATATATATATATATATATATATATTGAGAATCACATACACACAGACTCTCTCTCTCTCACACACACACACACACACACACATATATATATATATATATATATATATATATATATATATATATATATAAATTGGACACTGACAATATATAATATATACGACATCATAGAAAAATTGTATGTAAATATATATATATATATATATATATATATATATATATATATATATATATATATATATTTCATATATATATATATATATATATATATATATATATATATATATATATATATATATATATATATATATATATATATATATATTTATTATGTAAAAACCATATATTGTTAAATATAACAGACAATGAATTCTATTATGCCTGATAATGAGCCGTTCTAATGTTTGTATGCTTGCTTTAATTTCGGGTAAAAGCAAGCA